TAGGACTTCCGATACTATGTTGAATAAAAGTGGTGAATGTAGACTTCTTTGTCTTGCTCTTGATCTTGAGGAAAATGCTTTTAGCTTTTCCCCATTAGGATGATGTTAGTGGTGGGTTTTTCCTTATGGCCTTTATTATGATGAGGTATGGTCCCTCCATTCCCACTTTGCTGAGAGGTTTTTTTTTTTTTATCATCAATGCATGTCTGATTTTGTCAAATGTTTTCTGTATCTATTGATATGATTGTGATTTTTACCCTTCATTTTGTTCATATGGTGTACTGTGTTAACTGATTTGCAGATATTGAACCAATCTTGCATCCCAAGAATAAATCCCATTTGATCTTTTTAATGTATTGCTGAATTTGGTTTGCTAATATTTTGTTGAGGATTTTTGCACCTATGTTCATTAAAGATATTATTGAGCCTATAATTTATTTGTAATGTCTTTGTCTGGTTTTGGAATCAGGATAATGGTGGCCTCATAAAATAAGCTTGGGAGCTTTCTTGAATTTTTTGGAATAGTTTGAGAAAGATAGGTGTTAATTCTTTGAATGTTTCGTAAAATTGACTTGTGATGCTATCCAGTCCAGAACTTTTGTTTTTGGGGAGTTTTTTGATTACTGATTTGATTTCATTAGTAGTAATTGGTTGGTTCAGATTTTCTGTTTCTTCTCGATTCAATCTTGGATGGTTATGTGTTTCTAGGAATTTTTCCATTTCTTCCAGAATGTCCAATTTGTTGGCATATAATTGTTTGTAGTATTTTTGTATAATCCTTTGTATTTCTGTGGTGTCAATTGTCACTTCTCCTTTTTCATTCCTGATTTTATTTATTTGGGTCTTCTCTTTTTCTTGATGAGTCTGATTAAAGGTTTATCATTTTTTTTTTTACCTTTTCAAAGAACTAGCTTTTGGTTTCATCGATCTTTTGTATTGTTTTTTAGACTCTATTTTGTTTATTTCTTCTCTGATCTTTATTACTTCCTTCCTTCTACTCACTTTGGGATTTGCTTGCTATTCTTTTTCTACCTCCTTTAAGTGTTAGATAGATTGTTATTTGAGATTTTTCTTGTTTCTTGAGCTAGGCCTGTATTGTTATGAATTTCCCTCATAGGGCTGCTTTTGCTGTGTCCTATAGATGTTTCATTTTCATTTGTCTCAAGGTATCTTTTGATTTCTTCCTTGATCTCATTTTAACCCATTCATTGTTTAGTAGCATGCTATTTAGCCTCCATGTATTTGTATGTTTTCAGTTTTTTTTTCCCTTGTAATTGATTTCTATTTCATACCATGGTGGTCAGAGAAGATGTTCAACATGATTTCCATCTTCTTAAATTTATTGAGACTTGATGTGGCCTAACATGTAGTCTATCTTGGAAAATGTTCTATGTGTACTTGAAAAGAATGTATATTCTGCTGCTTTGTGGTGAAATGCTCTAAAAATATCAATTAAATCCATCTTGTCTAGTGTGTCATTTAAGGCTGCTGCTTCCTTGTTGATTTTTCTGTCTGGAATATCTGTCCACTGGTGTCAATGGGATGTTAACACCCCCTACTATGATTGTATTGCTGTTAATCTCTCCCCTTATATCAGTCAATATTTGTTTTACATATTTAGGTGCTCCTATGTTGGGCACATAATGTTTAGTAAGGTTGTACCCTCTTGTTGGAATCATCCTATTATCATTATGTTATGTCCTTCTTTGTCTCTTACTATAGTCTTTGTTTTAAAGTGGCTCCCCATTTTAAAAATATAATTATCTCAGGTCTCAAGTATTTCTTCTATACACATTGTGTACCATATCTAATGGTGTTATCATTTTTCCTTCAATCATCGTGTATAATTTAAGAAACTCATAATTAGGACAGTCTATTTCATTTATTCCTATTTTTACCAATTCAATTTTTTTTTCTTTCTGCAGTTCCATTCCTGTTATTATTTACTTTGCTTAGAGTATTTCCCTTAGTTACTAATGTTTGGTTGGAGTAAGAGTTCTCTGTGGTAGGCTACCCTTTTCCTGGTTTTGACTAAGGGAATAGGTTCTCTTAGGGCGTTTTTTGTTGTTTGTTTGTTTGTTTTGTTGTTGTTGTTGTTGTTGTCTGTATCTGTTGGTGATTCTGGCTTGGAAGTTTTTATAACACCTTGGCTGAGAAATATGAGAGGTGATAAGAAAAACATGAGAATTTACCACCATGTTATTCCTCAGCCCTGAAATTCTAGGACAGTTTGTCTTCTTCTTTCTACATTTCAGAGTCTTCTCATTCTTGTTTGTTGTGTTATGTCCAGGGTTTTTTAGTTGTATGAGGGATGATCTGGGGAAATGGAGCCACTCTGTTTTGGCTCAAGCCCCAGACATAGAGTTTTCTCCAAAATTTTATTGTGAAAACTTTCAAAGACGAAGTAAAGTTGAAAGAATTTTACAGTGAACACCCATATACTATCACCTAGATTCTATCATTAATGTTACTAAATTTGCTTTATCGTGGTTCTTAATAGCTAAAACTTAGCAACAATGCAAATGTCCATCTACAGGATAGTAGCTAACACTACATGCAATAACAGGGTGAATCTGACAAAATGTGTGGAGAACAGAGCACAAAAAAATACAGTTGTATGATTATATTACATAAAGTTTAAAATAGGTAAAATTTTTGTATAAGGATGTAAAAATGTATGTTAAAACTATAAAGAAAAGCAGAAAAATGTCTCTCTCAGAAGTCAAGATAGTAGCTGTGTTTAGGAAAGAGGTACCGAGTGTTTGCAGGGGTCTACTTCTTAACCTGGGTGGTTGTTTACTGGGATGTTCTCTTTATTATTGTGAAATGTGAAATAAAATGGAATCACTTAAGGGCTTTAAAATGGAGTCAGAAAGCTATCAAGGGAATGAGTCTTATGCACATCCTCACAGGACAGAACACAAACTTTTGAACTAGGCAAAACCATACATATTCTAGAATTCTGCAAAAACAAGTACAACTTGTCACAGAGACATACTTTTATTTAACGATAGCCCTAGCAATAGATTATTTTCAACTAAGGTTAGCGTTCTGCCAACAGCATCAATTAAAATTCTTTGTGAATGATTTAGGCAAACTTCCCCTTTTGCCTTTAAAAATCTCTGGTTTTTTTCCCCTGTAGGAACTACCTGAATCAGTATGCACAGATTGCAATTCTTTTTAATCCCAAATAAACACTTTTCTTTTTCTTTGCTTGATTTTTGTCTGCTGACAACTGAGGTTAACACATCCATGTGTTATACTGGAATATATATGTTCTAACTGGTTTTCTGTATGTACATTTCACATTTTCAAAAGCATGAGAAATATGATTCTATTTTTTTGTTTCATACACACAAATGTGTGTATGCATATGCAATAGCACATATGAATAAATGTAGCTAGTGTTTCTGCTGGACTTATTTATTATGTTTATGTTTTTTCATTCTATGTACTGTGTGTAATTTAAAAAATAATGAATGCTTTATTTTCATAGTGAGGGTAAACAACAAAGCACTTTTCTCTTTAAAAAATTATGCATATATAGTATTTCAAAATGATACCAAAATTTTAAACATTTGAGTAGGAAATGGCCAAAGTACCTATGTAGGCAATTAACATCAGAAAATATCTAAATGGTTCAGTAAATATAAGATATTATATTTAATTTCACAGATACGCAAAATTAGATATTAAAAATTGCTCTATTAAAAAAACAAAAGCATTTTTTAAAAAGCATTAAAAAGATAAAACCCAGAGTGGGCATCGGTGCTAGGCACATATTGTCACAAATTATTTAGGGAAATATAAATTGTAAAATCTTCCAGGAAGGCAACTAGGCAATGTACTTGAAATTCTACCAGTCCTTTATCTAACAATTCAACTTCAAGAAATTTAAACTAAGAAAATAATCTTCAAAGATATAGCTACAAGGATATTAATAGAAAAACTGGAAATAATATAACAATAGGGATTTAGTTAAATACATGTAAATAAATAAGCTTAGTTTAAATATATTTAACCAAAAAAAAGTTAATTGGATGCAATGACATGCACTGAAGCCATTAAAAACACTGCTGAGGGATGATATTTACTGGCAAATTCAAATGTTCAAAGTATATTCTTAAGTGGGGAAAAAAAGAAGATAGGTTACAATTGCTATTTGCAATATTCTTTTTTTTTTTAAAACGAGAGCGGCAGTGATTGAGAGATCAATATAGGGTTCAAAGGTCTGTTAAGAGACGTTCACCAAAATGTTAATCTCTTATTTCTGTGTGGTAGCATCAAGTGTATTTTTCTTTTACTTTAAAAAAAAAAAAATCAACATTTTAAATGGGACGTGTTCCTTTAGCAAAATTAAAAAAAAAAAATTATCTGTTGGCTTCTCAGTGCCTGGAATGCCCTTCCCCTCCCGCACTGCCTCGGACTTGGCAATCTATTCTCACCTTCTCAGTGAGTACTGCAGAGGCCACCCTACTGACTCTCCCAAATGGGTCCCAGATCCCTAAGACCCTGTTCTCTCGCGTTTTCCCATAACACTTATCTTCTAAAAGGTTATATAATTATATTCATGGCTATTGTCTGCTCTCTACCTCCCAAAAGAGTTCTCGAGAGCAACAATCAATGATTTTTGTTCTGTTTGCACGCATATTTCCAACCGTTTACAACAGCGCTTGGCACATTAGCAGGTGCTAGACACTTTCGTCGAATGACTTCAGGGGAAATAGGTTTGTTCTTGGCGGGTGTCTACTTGCCTTATCATCATTTGTGCAGATGTAGAGCCCTCGGCGAACCACCCTTTCCTTCCCTAGGAACCGGGAAACCAGGGCCCTGTAACTCACACAGTGGGGAGCCGAGCCCAGACTTGGGTTCTAGGCACGTGACAGGCTCGCCAGTGCCGCGCGTCTGACAAGCGCGGAGAACTATACTTCCCAGAATCCTTGAGTACTCGCATGGACTACATTTCCCAGAGGTGTTAGCACCGCCCCCCCACCCCCCCACCCCAGGACCTGCGTGAGAGACGGGGCGTTTGCCGCCAGGGTGAGCGGCTTCTAGGCCTGAGCCCAGGGCGAGCCCCGACCCGAGGCTGCTGCCCCGCGCGGGCAGTTCGGGAGCTTCCGCCTGCGGAGCGCGGCCGGCGGAGGCACGGCCCCCAGAATCTCCGAGGCCTGGGCGAGGTGAGCGTCGGATGTTCGGCGGGATGCGGGAGGGAGGACCCGGGCCTCGGAAGGATGCGGGGCACAGGCCCGAGAGGCGCGAGCGGGGCCTTTGTGGGCGCGGGCGTGCCGAGAGCCCAGCCCCACCCCGGCTCTGTCCGACTGCCTCCCACGATCCGTCCCGCAGACGTGCAGCCGAACAAGGCAGGTCGGGCATTTAGTTCCCGATGGCCCCAGGCCCCAGCCGCCCTCCTGCTTCCCCCGACGGTTCCCAGCGCGCAACCTGCCCGGCCCCTGCCGGCTGTCAGTGAAGGTGAGGAATTGTTTCCTCCCCTTACCGTCGCCACTGCCCTCCGAAGTGGCAGGTGTAACGATCTGTTTTCCTCAAGAAGGGAGTTGCTGGCTTCTCCAAAGGCAGAGCCAGGACGGGCACCCAGGTCTTTGGTGTCTGTGCCCATTCCTTCCCGCCACAGGAGAACTGGTTTCCCCTTTCCGAAGCAATTTTCTCTAATATCTGATTCCTTGACAGGAGGAGAAGGAACATGGTGACAAAAACTTGGCGGTGGAGAAAAGTTGTCGCGTGCACGCAGTGGGGTTAGAGTGGATGACTGGGGCGCACCGTGCGGGAACCTGGTGCACCCTCGCTTGCTGTGGGAGCAAGTTGCTTCCACTCTGCCCTCAGTTTCCTGATCTATAAACTGGGGGTGCTGACGATGCCAGCAGTGCTGTGGGACTAAACGGTGTGGGTGGTGCCTGGCTCAGTGAGTCCCTGCTGCTGCTGCTGCTGCTGCTGCTGCTGCTGCTGCTGCTGCTGCTGCTGCTGCTGCTGCTGCTGCTGCTGCTGCTGCTGCTGCAGGAGGCCTACGTTCTTTTTCTCTGCGCCAGGGGAAGAGTTGGGGCCTGGACCAGGGTGGCCCAGCCCTTCTCTCTGGTCCTGCCTGCTCCTAGCTCCTCCTGACGTCCCTCTCTGAGGGCACAGGTGTCATTCTCAGCTGATGGAAGGATTTGAGAGCTAGTGATTCTGAGGGGTGGAAAGAAGAAGGGGTGCTCCCTCCTGGCTCCCTTTTCTTTCAGATCTGCCTTCTGTGACTGCACCATCCTCAGGGGGAGGAGCCCAGAGGACATGGCTACTGAACAGAGGGAAGCAAGGTCTCAGGTGAGTTCATTGTGTCTCAGGCCTTAGGGACAGATGGTTGGTTTGTTGTTTTCCCTTCAGCTGAAATTCTCTTCCCAAGACAGTCTTCTCCAAGATTTGGAGCCAAGTCCCTTTCCCTTTGAAGAGCCGTCCCCCCAGTGGGTGGTGGACTCTGTCATGCATGCCTGCCTCCACCACAGCAGCCGGTGTCCAAAGTTTCTCTTCGTTTTCCTAACAGTCTTTTATTCATTAATCTCAACTCACTGCATGATTGCTAATTTGACAGGTGAAATGCCACACGTGTCATATCACTTGTGGACAGAACAGACAAACATCACTCTTGGCAAAGTTCTTTTCTGGCTCTGCCTCCTTGGCTCAGCCCATCTCCCGCACTACCCTTAGCCAGAATGCTTTTCTTTTTCTCTCTACCCCAGAGAATCCTCGTGATACGTTCTCCAGGCTTCTCCCACCCACAGTTTTTAGTTTCTTCTTCCTCTTACCCCTGTGGATCACATTACTTGCTTCTACCACTCTCTTGAAAGCTGATCTTAACCTGCCATGTTCATCTTTATGTGTGGGAATGAGGGAGGGACCTTATCCCGTGAGCTGAAGCGTGAACGAAGGACAGCCATGTTGGAGGGGGCACAGCTGGAGCAGTCTCTTGACTCTGAGGGCAGAGACAAGACTCCTCAGGAAGCGGCAGGGAGGGTTCCGTGGGCCATCGGTACTGGAGAGGTAGTGTATACAGTACTTAGGAAGTGAGGCTTTGGAGCCAGATGGCCGGGTTTGAACCTACATCTTCCATTGCCATTTATGGGTCTTGGGAAAATCCCTCCACCTCTCTGGGCATCAGTTTCCTCATCTGTAAAATGGGAATAACAATAGCCCCTATGTCGTAGGTTAGGTGAGAGAATCGTGTGAGTTAGTGCATGGAAGGTGTTTAGGTCAGGGCCAGGCACCATGTGTGGTTGCCATGGTAGCTGAACGATGTTTTTCTGGTAATAATGCTGTTAAAGTGGATGGAGAGAAACTGCGGTAGTGTTCCTAGGACCCGGGAACTTGTCTCATCTTCATCTAACTGCGACAGGTAGTGTTGCTAGGGGGTGTCCCAGGGGCTTTACTGTCTCGGGACAGTGCAGCAGTTATTATCCCCATTTTACCTGTGAGGACACTGAGGCTCAAAGAAGTCAAGTAACCTGGATTCAAACCCCAGTGTGTGTGGCCTCTAAGCTCAGCTCGTAGTTGTCCTGTGGTTGCTCTGTGACCTTTCAGGATGCAGGGCAGACCCAGCAGGTGTTCTCAGGGCTCTTCCGCCCTCTGCTGTCCAATCTTTTGGGCCCGTGGGATGTGCTATGTTTGATCTTAGGAGGCTGCGGCCAGGGCCTCCCTCCCAGGTGTACCTGGGCTGCTTTTGTCTAACTAAGGCTTTCCCATCTCATTCCCATGGAGCCGAGTTGCTCTTTTGTCGAGAACATTCTCTGTCCCTATGTGTGATTGGATCCCGTAGGCGTTCTTGCCCATCTCGCTTGCTGCCCATCTGTCAATGCTGTGGGAACCTATGTATAAAACTCACCGACAGGACCTTTGTGACCAGAGAAAGAATGTACTGAGGACTGCGTCAAAAGAAAACTTTAATTACTGTCCTGCTTCTGCCACTAATACATTATGTGACCTGGGGTCTCGAGTGCCCTGGACCTTATGTTCCTCATCTCTAAAATGAGGGTCGAACTAGGAGGCAGCGTACCGTCCTGTCCAGCTACACGTTTTCTTTCATCATTCAAATTATTATGCATTTTTCTTCTCTACCAGTTGAATTGTAAGTTCTTTTGAAGGCAAAATCATTTCTTATATTCCCCCATATGCCAATACGTTATCTTTCATATCATACATGTATTTCTTGCTCACCTTAAAAATTCAGAGAATGAAAAATACATATGTAAAGAAGAAAATAAAATCAGTCTTACCCCAACATCTGGAGATAATCAGTCACCCCTTTGATATGCATCCCACAGAATCATTTTTATGCACATTTATTAATATACACGTGTATATATTATATATTTTACTATTTTAACTTTTATTGTGGTGAAATATATATAGCATAAAATTTACCACTTTAGCCCTTTTTGAATGTGTAATTCTGTGGCATTAAGCACTCACGTTGTTGTATAAACATCACCACTATCTATTTCCATTACATGGATGATCTCATTTATTTCTTAACCCTATGAGGTAGGCATTGACAGGCAGTTTTGCAGAGTGGTTGAGAATGGAGCCTCAGACATTCACCTGAATTGGAATTCCATCTCTGACACTGAGCAGCTGTGATATTGTGATATATAATAGAAAAAATATATTTGGTCTTCACCTCTGTTCCTGGCACACTGCTTCGAAAGCCCTTTTAATTTCTTATGTGTTTAGTAATACTAGGGTTTTTTCACCCGAAATAACTTAAGAGCAATAAAGGTGAAATAAGTATGTTTGGTTATTCATAACCAGCCCTTTCAATCACATCAGTTTTATTAATGAGGTGACTTTTTGAAAGCCCCTAAGGATAGGGGCCGGTTACCAGAGAAACCAACCCTGATTAGAGGGGCTGGAGGTTGAATCAGCCATGCCTACACAATGATTTCATGGATCGTGTCTGTGTAATGGCTGGTGATTTAATCCATTATGCCTTTGTAATGAAGCCTCCATAAAAAACAAAAGGGCAGGATGCTGAGATGTGGGTTGGTAAATGAGATGTGGAGATTCAAAGAGAGTGGCTCATCCAGGGAGGCCACAGAAGCCCTGACCTTCCTCATACTTTGCTCTGTGTCTCTCTTCATCTGGCCGTTCTGGAGTTCTATCTTTTTATAATAAATTGGTAGTCCAGTAAGTAACATATTTTTCTGAGTTCTGTTTGCCAGTCGAGCAAATTAATCAAACTGAGGAGTGAATTGTGAAAACCTCTGAAGATGCATTTCATGGTGGCCCGTCTGCCTCCCCAGTGCCACCTTCTTCACTCTGTGATGGGCGGTACTGGGTGAGCTGGGATGGCTTGTCTTTGCAGGTGTCAGTGACGTTCGAGGATGTGGCTGTGCTCTTTACGCGGGACGAGTGGAGAAAGCTGCGTCCTTCTCAGAGGAGCTTGTACCAGGATGTGATGCTGGAGAACTACGGTCACCTGGTCTCACTGGGTAAGGAAGCTTTCCTGTAGGTACAGAATTCAGAAGTGGGGATAACTCAGTACCTGCTTCCCCAGCTAAAAGCCCTGGGTCCTCAGAAACTTGAGCTGAGTTTTGCCTGATGATCGTGCAAGTTGGATCTGCATAAATAAACATGAAAACTCTTCCCCCTTATAGGCGTGGAATCGCCCATGAGTGGGACAGTCCGCACTGTTGCACACTAGAAGCTCCCCCGTAGTTCAGGCGTCATTTCCCACTGTGATTGTTCTGTACTTGCTTGCTCACCACTCAGTGGGCAGCACCCCTCAGCCCTTTCCGTGGACCTGCCACTTGCCTTTCCCCGTTGTCTTTCCAGCCAGGTGGACATTGCACAGTCCATCTTTGAAAGGAAGTCAGATAGTGTTTTCTCGTTTTGAACAGGCTACTTGGGACAGAATCCTTGCCACAGATACCTGTTCACAGATTTTAATTCAGTCTGTACATCTTGCATGTTCCATTCTCCGTAGAAAGCCCTATTAATCAAGCTGCGTGTTTGTCTTATTTCCCTAACATACAACTAATTATCCTACACATCCCTTCCTTTTCTCTGACACCCTCACATCGTGGGGCCCAACTTGAGTACCCTGCAGGAGCTCTTCGTGTCACCCCAAGTGTTCCCTTCACATCTGGGATAGCTCTTTGTATCCAAACAAAACCAAGTCTTGTTTTTTCTTTTCTTTCCTCTGTGGGCAGGATTCCCACTTTCCAAACCCAAAGTGATCTCCCTGCTGCAGCAAGGCGAAGAGCCCTGGAAGGTCGAGGAAGGAAGTCGCAGAGGCTCCTGGCTGGGTGAGTGGGGGCCTGAGGTGCGGGAATGGCCGCAGGCAGAGATCTGGTCAATGAGTGGGTGGCGCGGCCAGGGAATGCTCATCGGGAAGGTTTCTCCCGGGTTCTCGATCCTCCAGAAGTGGTGGAGGAGGGGGCACTAAGGCCCCAGACATGAGCTTCCTCTTTTTCTCTGGTAATCACTTCACAAATGAATCTCTCAAGATCTCTTGTTCTTTCCTGTTGTTTCAGAGAAGGGCTACATTCTCATGTAGTCATTCAGCAAACATGGTATATTTAAGGAATTGCAGATAATTCATTCTTACTGGGGCTCGGGGTATGTACATGGGAGAAGAAGGAGGGGAGGAAGGAAAGGATTTTAGACAACTAATTGGGGGCCACATTATAAAGTGCTTTGATGCAGTACTTAGAGATGAGAACTGCAAATAGTTAAAGGATTTTAAGCTGAAGAATTGTATCATCCTTGCTATTTTAGAAAAATTGGTCTGAATCAGAAACAGTGTAAGCGTCCTTCAGTAAAGTCACAGCTGAAGAAGCTATGGTATGTCCCCACTCTGGCACATGGCACCAAGGTCAGAAAGAGGACACTGATGGACAGAGCTCCCTCCAAGGCCCATTAAGGACTAAAGCAAGTTCTGGAGTGTTATTATGATGTGGCACCATTTATGTTTAAAGAAAATTACATAGGTGTATTAATGGTGGTGGTTAGAGACATCTTAGTGATGAGATCTAAAAGAATTTGATGACAGTGGTTACCGGGGGCAGGGGGAGAAGGAAAATAAATAAATAAAAATAAATAAATAAAAAATAAAATAATTTGATGATTGGCTAGCCTTGGAATATAGTGGAGAGAAATTTCTGAGATGAAACTAAGAATTTATGGCACAGTACCTGAAAAGATTGTAATTCTGAACTGGGAAACAGAAAAAAGGTTTGAAAGGAATTCACTGGGTTCAGATTTGGACAGGTCGAATTTGAAAAGAAAAATACTCAGATGGAAAGTCTAGCAGGCAGTCAAAAATACCTCTGAAGTATTTTTGAGAAAAGTCACGATATTTTTGAGAAAAGTCAGTTATTCACATAGGAGGTGTGGGAGTGGATGAAATCATCTAGGAAGAGAAGGTTGAACAGAGACTCTCAGAGTGTCACAAAATCCAAGGGAATGTAGACCTAATGACAGGAACTAGTCAGATGGTCATGAGCAAAATCAGTTTGGCTTCTAAACTTCTGACCGAAGTCTTAACCTCAGGCCCGGGCTTGATTCTGGAAGGGAGCAGAAGTTCACCTTTACGTCAGGAGACAGATCTGTAGGCCTGCAGAAAACTCTAAGCAGATCGTAAGGGACAACTAGGATGTCTACAATTGGGTACTCAGGTCTGCCTCAGTGGGAAACACAAATTTAGGACCAAGGCGTCGGCACTTTAAAGAAAAATTGAGATGAGTTTCCCAGTATTGGTGTGGTGCTTGCGGCTCTAATCATTACTATCCAAAATAAAAACTCCCCATGTCTAAATTCTCTATTCTTTAAATGAAAATTTTCAAAAAACATTTCTATACTTGATGTTTCCATTTCTTACCTCCCATTGCTTCTTCGGTGTATTCCAGTGGGACTTTCTTCTTTATTATCCCACAAAAGGCACAGTTATTAAATCCTGGACAGTCTCCATCTTGGCACAATTAGGGTTAAGTTTTTAGTCCTCAAATTATTTGCCAAAGTTGTTCGCTCACTCCCTGAAGTACTTGTTTCCCTTGTCTTCTGGACACCATACTCTTCTAATTTTCTTTCTTTTCTTGACCTTTAATGTTGCAGTGCCTAATTCTTCAGCTTTAAATAAAACTTAACTACAGAGGTCTCCCACCTACCTAACCATAGCTCTGACCTAGATCTCCAAAATAATATATACAACTGACTATTTTGGTATCCTCCTCTAGTATCTATTAAGACATCTCAGCCATAACAAACATATCTGAAATAGAATACCCTCCTCAGACTTGCCCTTTTCCTAGTCTTCCCCTCCTCAGTAACTTGGACCAGCATTTATCATTTTCAGGCTAGAAACCTAGGAGTGATCCCTAACTTTTTAATTCCTTCTCAGCACCCCCACACAAAGTCCATCAGCAAATCCAGTCCCGTGAGTACTTCCTTAATAGTATTCCCTGATGCCGTCATCTCTTCCTCCACCCTTTCTCACGTACATAACTACAGCAGCCTCCTAAGTGGTTTCTCCTCTCCCTGCCTCCACTTGTATCCCACTGGTCTGTGCTCTGAACAGTAGCCAACTTGAGTGAGCATGCAGTTTTCCCAAGGCTTCCTGTCAGGCGTAGAGTAAAATTCCAAAGTCTTTACCATGACATATGAGCCTTATGCAGTTTGCCCCTACCTATTGTTCCAGTCCTGTTTACCATTTTCCCTCTTCTTGCTCACTGCACTGTAGCCACACAGCCTCTTTTGCTGTTCCTCTGAAGTCACTACACTTTTGTATTTGCTGTTTCCTTTGCCTGGGAATCCCTTCCTTTACATAATCCATATGGCTTTTACTTATTTACTTATTATTCATCACTTCATTTTCCCCTTCCCCTCAGCACTCACACACACATACCAAAGTATAAACTCTTTAAAGGTTAGAACTCTCTCAGTCATCCCACTGTCTACATGTTCTACAATATTAGCTGGCCCATAGTAGGCACTTAATAAGTATGTGTTAATGGAAAGGATGTCTACAGCATTTGCAAAGATAAAGAAATAAAAAAACATGGAATGCTCCAGAAACTATATGTAGTTAGGCAGATCTGGCAAGAAACCAGGGGAAGGAGATGCGGACAGAGGTGGACAGAGGTCAGATCACAAAATACCTTGCTCACCATGTTAAGTACTTTGGCCCATATATATGAATCATTAACGATAATTTGGAGGATCTTAAAGAAGTTTACAACATGATAAGATGTAGATTTTAGAAAGGTGATTCTGGCTGCATTGTGGAGACTGAATTGGCAAAGAGCAGGACTTGAGGCAGGGAGGCTAGTTAGACTGTGGTAGAAACGGTAAGACGTGAGAAACAAAATACGTCCTAAGTACATGTGCCCAATACACAAGGCTCTAGTAAAGGTGTAAATCACAAAACTGCAGTCTTTACATACAGGCCTCACAGGCAGTCTTTAACTTTACCTTATTACAGGCTAGAATTCAAAATGCCAACTCTTAACTATTTTCTTGCCAACACATATAATGAACTTAGAACCAGTGATGATATACACGAGAAAATACTCCATTTTTGTGAATGCCTCCCATACTTTTGCCCAAATAACGTATTGAAATTTGATCATTAATTTATTAAGCCTTAGATGGAGAAGGAGCTGGGAAGGTGTTGGGCAGAA